TTTTAAACGACATTGTGTTCACCCATATATGGAAGAAACATTAACTCCATATTGGATTTTGCAAAGGATTGTGTGCTAGAAAATTGAACTATAGAGGGTGTTTGGGAAAACTCGTACCTTTGCCATACAGCATTGTGCTAACAATATCTGTAAACCTGTTTTCAAGCAACGTATGATTGTATTTTTGAACTTTCCATTAATTTCACTGGTAAGATTTTTTTTCAGATTGTTTACTGTTTGTGACTGCAAGCTGTCTGCAACCATAAAATACGAGTTTCCCCCAACGCCTTTTATGCTTCATTTTTCTATCCCACAAAATCCAAGGTGGAGTTAAAACAATTCACCCCTATACGTCAGCTCATTGAGGTAAAAGACTGTCTTTTACCTCCATGGTCAGCTTGACATCATAGGAAAATTGCATCAATAGAGGGCGCGATTTTTAGGAATAGTGTATTATGTAACATTACATATCTTGCGTACAATCAAGAGGCCTATAGTTTACTTTCAAATAAATTTGCATTGTCCCTCCAGTTGACATTGATATCTTACTAGTATCTCAGGATCAGAGTAAACTGATTAATACACAGTGGTGTGGTGTGGTGTGGTAACTATAGTGACCCAGATGTCACTGAAACCCTTGTTCACAGTCATGTCTTTTTCTTAATTGCACCTGACTTATGTTTGTCACTTAGCGTAGGGATCAAAAACATTCTTGTTATTAATATCAGGGCGACAGTATCTGCAACTAATACTATATATATATTTGGTAGAAAACATACAAATTAATATTTTCAGTTCTGTTTCCATGGCAACTACTTTACAAGCAAGTTTGGCACCAATACATATATGCTACCATGTTCTAAACTTTCAGCCAATTTGAAGTTCAACTTGTGAAGTTATAGATGATGACAACAGATTATATGATGTCATACTTTACCCATAATCCTTTCCTGAAGAATCAAGATGGCGGACTACATGAATTGGTGAAAAGTTGAATATCTAGAGAATGAAAAGTGATGTAAAAAACTGTGAATTGCATGTTCTTACATTTACCGAGCTCTTTAATCTGGGAGTATTATGTTGTTAGCCTTGAATTTCCCTTTAACCTCTATCAGATGTGTTCATTTCTTAGTGATGATTAGTTTTTCATTTTTTATATTTTTTTCTTTTGTATGTATATGGAGTATTAATAATGTATATTAATTTACTGTCACCTTTCTATCATATATAGACTGCAAAATATCATATCTTAATAAATATTAGCTGAAATTGCTCCAATTTGGAGGGTCAATTATGAAAAAGACCCTCATACTGAGAGACAATTTGTCGTTTAAAGTTTGAGATAGTGTAGATACAGTTTTGCTACCAGACTGATAGTACAGTAAAGAAGTGGGAAGAAGTATAAACGAAGCCTACGACCAAAACATTAATTGCTTCTTCATTGGGTTAAAATACATATTTCCCTGCATCTACGGAAGACATGACAAATAGCACATAGCATGATGTCACACTACCGATCTTTGTCATATTGTACCTATTACTGTTTTATACTACTCGATAACTAGGACACTGCTCATATCGGCAATCTCGTGTGTTTATTTTCAGAAGTATTATACCGGTATTATTTGAGCTTTTTTTGCTTTAAAAATATACCTATGCATACTTACCGCAGGAGTAGCTCCAATCATCGCCGCAAATTTGGTTCGCAGATGTACTCTGTGGCAGACAGTGGTCAATGTTTTGTTTATATGACTTTTTGCAAAAAAAACACACACAAAGCAATCATGAAAACATTATACACATGGTACAGACTTCAACTTTCAGCTTAACTGGGTCAAAATAGAAATAAAAGTAAAACTACACAGACTATGGATTTTCTATACACAATGGCCTCTATCTGGAACAGGAAGTGTTAATTAGTTCCAGTTCCGATTATTGCCCGAGGTTTCCGTTTTTCTATTTGCAAACAGATTAAATGGAAAAAATATTAAGACTCCCGTGCTGTCAACACTCACGTGGGATTCACTGGAAATTATATGCTATAACATGAATGCATTCACATTATTTCTTCTTTTTCGCTAATGGATAACAACTATTACAGAAGCTGCTCACCTCTGGACAACTGTCCCACATCACACTGCAGAATTATCCAGCACACTGACCTTCTTTGCATCACAAATGCAGTCATCACTCCAGCCTATAATAAATAAAATACATACACCCTCCTGTAAGTGCATACAACTAACTTCCAATTCTCACTCGCATACCAGCACACTGCTAATTAAATCGTGATCCGATTCATGTACACTTGTACACACGTTGCCAATCAACCACTGGGCACCATAAGTAGATTATGTGATATACGTTAAATTGTTAAATTAAATTCATTTTACAGTAATATAACCTACATACACAAATTTCTAGTCAATATAACAGAAAGAAAGCTTAGAAAGTCAGCTCCCACATTATATGCACTCCTAAATGATTCAATCCGGAATATAAACGGTTGTAGAGTGCATTGCTCTAGCGAGCATTTGTCATCTTAGTATGTTGTATATACACAAGTGATTGATGATCTGTTTGTAACACAAATTCACGCCCATACAAATATACATCAAAATACTGCACACCCCAGACTATGGCTAACCATTCCTTTTCCGCGTAGTAGTACACAACATAAACTGCTTCGAACAATTGAGTAGCAATAAGATGGGGAACACAATTTGGTTTTTAGGGATGTAAAAGCGATTTCTTGGCTAGGACCCCATTGGTTCAGTCTCACAGACTGTAATGTTGTTCAAGCAGCAAAAGTCAATGCAGAATTTTACAGAACCAACCTTTTTCTTCGCCAGAACAACTGGGGAATAGTATGGAGAGTTTGACTATCCAATTACCCCCATAGCCTCCATCATAGACAGCGCTTCTTCACTTCATCTTTCATAGCATAGGGTTTAGGATAAGGTTCCGCTCACTGGCTCACCAGTTGTAAGCCTTATCTCGTGCTCTCTAAAATTAGTCCTTCCCAAAACATTGGTCAGAACACCAGAGTATTCCCCCAATAATTCCTTCACCTCAACCTTCTGTTCGTCTTTCAAATTGGACTTTACTGCTACATCCTGTATAAATTGAGTTGGCTGTATGATGGGAGAGATCAACACTCCTCAAAGGTATCATTATTTGGATTACCATAACTGAACTCAACTTCCGGTTTAGCTTTAGCGAGTTAGCAGAAAATGTTGTCGTCTTGCCAGAAAGATTAATCTTGTAATTAGTATCATTCAATCGCCCCATTACTTGGATTATTAGATATGCGTTTATTCAATTAAATTACTTTTACCGTACTATAACCAATATACACACATTAATAATAA